CATACGTCAAAGATCAGAAGGTTTATCATTGTTATCTCTTTGACGGTGCCGCATTAAGATGACCAAGTTTATGGTTATAGTTTTTCAGATAGGCTGTACCGGTTATTGTTTCGGTGGGCTGACTTGCTTGGATCTGGCACGATTCGATGTAGGTTTGCAGGCGGCAGTCTCATTCCACGGAACATTGACCAACTATCCAGGAAACAATACGTAAATATCCCAATATTAGGGGCAGTCCAGAGGGAATTTTATCCCTGAAAATTTAGCTCTATCGGAGCCTCAGTTCAAGCACATCACGGCGACATTGACCCACATACTACCAATCAAAATGTGAGCGATACTGTACCTACAGTAATTCCATCAACTCTCAAATTACATCCTTTTAGGCCGCTGAATTCCTCGATGAAATGAGAGCAAGACAAGCTGATTGGCATTTCACCTCGTATGCCGATGCTCAACATGCATTCACCGTACCATGTAGAGTGTCTGATTTGAACAAGCTTTTTTCATAAATATTGGAAATGCTTGCAGGGGCAGCCAACTGGGGAATCCCTGGGGCCGCATACAATGAGAAAGCCGATAAACGAGCGCACAGAGCCATGGAAGGATTTCTTGCAGAGAAACTACTCAATTAGTTCGCCAATGATTTTGCCTTCCATTATTTATTCAATGAATTCTTTGCATGTCTATGTTTGTTTATTTATATTGTGAAAAATCGAAATAAATGTTGAAAGAGTTTGCGGGAAGGAAATTTATGAAATGAAAGTAGTTAACGGCATTGGCTGCTCCAATTGTTCCTGATACGAAAGAACATTGAACTTGTCTCACAATTTATTTTTTGCTCCTTCGCGAAGGCCTGACAAGGGATTTATACATCAAGATCTTATTCCTTGTTTAGGTTGTCGGATAAGTTTTGTTACACTTTTATTGTTATCATTCAAAAATCTAATATACTTTCAAAAACTCTTACGTTCAAGGAGTGTGATGGGATACAAAGGTCTACTCGCCGGTGCTGTCAGATTCGTGGTCCGTTCGCAAAACACCCACTTTATCGGTGGGAGTACCTTTTATAAACATTCTCGTCAACGGGTGGCATTCCTCCAGATGATCAGGTAGGGAGATCGGACGATGGGTAACCAAAGTTGTTCATAGATGAGTCACATTGTGCACCATCTCAGCGTACATTCGATTTTTACATAAAGAACAATTTTCAAAAATTTACAAATATTTCCAACCTTGTAGCATGAAATTACGCGTGTACACAAAAAAAACTACCGACTTCTTTAACTTTTTATTTATTCTTCACCCTCGTTTTCAACATGTTAGCGACACCAAGTGTCGTCATAGAAGAAACTGTACAAAAAACGTTTGATAGAAATTATAGGGAACTAGCTAGCATACCCGGCTCCGCCCGGTATAGTTAGA